TATTCTCTTACATTTAGTATTCGTCCCAACAGCAGATGGAAGTTTGAAAATATACTTGTCAGCTCACATGAGTCAGTGCTGAATGCAGTATTCTGGATTTTCTCTGGTGAACTATGAAGCAACTTTTAGTGACTAGTAAGAGTCACAATGAGAATAAAGGGAAACACAAACCAACCAGCTGCTTTCATGGTTACACATCAAACGAGTGTTGAGTGGTTGGTTGGTGTGACCATCGCTGTGTTTCGTTCATGAGGAGAAAGGAGCTTCTTCATCCCTTTACTTACTTTAAGGATCTTTAGTTGACTTCAGCCCTAAAGAGAGAAAAGTACTTTGAAGTGAACTCTTGCAGCTGGTTTAGAGTAAGAGCTTCCAACATTAAATGTCATCAATAACTTCTGTTCCACGCACTCTCTCAATCACACACCCGTACATGATGCAACACACACACACACACCACTCGTATCTGCTGTCGGCTCATTAACAAGGAACACCACCCGTCCTGTAACACCGTATTTGCCAGTGGAGTCCTCTTGTTTCCTCCTGTTTGACTCTTTCCACCTTTTGTGTGCATGTAGTGAATTTACAGCGTGTGTAATGTAAACCAGTCAGGCTTTTATCACGGTACCATGGGAACACGTTTCTCTTTTTTAAAATCTGTGGCCCAGTGTGGGTTGAACCTGTGACCCCGGTGGTGTCGGTGCCTTGCTCTGCCTGTCGGTGTACTGTACATGTGGAATGTGGCTGTGTGAGATCACACCTCCACTTTGTTTTTCTTCGTCTTGCTTTAAGAGAGTGGGGATGCAGATTCTCTCCGTGTGCATCTCCGTGTCTGTCCACGGCACATCTGTTATTCTGCTGCAGCAAACTGCTCAATAGTTTGGGCGCTCATGTGCGTCCGCGTACTCAAAACACCATTTAATGTCAGTTTGACTACTGCCTGCTGACTCCTCACTCACTATACCTTTAACTCCCCCCGACCGGTAGGGCCGCGTGGTCAATATTCATTCAACAGAACATGTCGGCAGTGGTGGTTGCATCATTAATTGATCAATAGACTTATTGCTGGTTAACTCTTACCATCCCTGAGACAGAGTGTCTGTGATCTGCAGCTTAGAGATTTGATCTAAAGATCCAGTCTTTTGATCTTGAGAATATTTATTAATCAGAAGCTCAGTCCACACTTTCATTGTAGTTTCTGTTGTGCTCGGTTTTTTCCAAGCTGTCGACTCCACTTTACCCAGAATCCATTGCATTTTGTCCCTTTTTCTTGTAGTTATTTTGAAGTGCATGTCTTCGTTGTTATTCAGCAAAACAAACCAAACTGAGGGTGTTTTCCAAAAACCTCGGACTTGATGAATTAAAGCTGCAGTCAGACTCAGACGGTCATGTTTCGCATCCAGGGAGCTGCAATGAGCTTGAAAGCGGTCCACGCCCGGAAGATTGAAATCATCGTAACATCCCACCAACCTTTCACTCTGCTGGTGTAAATGAATCTCAGCACAAAGGCTTCGTTGTCATACGTCTTCTCCTGCTAGAAGTGTGCCATGTGTCTTGTCATTACTAAAGCCTTCTTTATTCTAGGCATTAAGTTGCTGCTCTCATCCAGAGGGACTTCCAGTAATTGCATCTCTAGAATTCATTTAAATTCCTTTCTTTTACATCCAGGAATGTGATATTTCTCTCGACTCAATGGGAACGTGATTCCTGGGCCTCCTGGTTTTGGGAATTTTCAATTTAGTACAAACAAAATACCGTCAAATCGTCTTAGAATGAACAGGATTATCACTTTGAGGGTGTAAACCTTACAGGAGATTATTCAGTGGAAGGTAGCGCGTCGTATGTGCTACAGGTTACACTAACAGAGCGTGGGCGGTGCCGACGTGTACGCAGGAACAGAAGCTGGATCAGCACCAGAAAAACATCTTTTCATTCCTCCAAAGCTTGCTCCCAACATTTGCTGAAACCCATCATACGTCAGAGAGGAGCGGTCGCTGCGTTTCTTGTTGTTTTTTTTCGAGAGGGACCGGTGTATGGATTGTGAATTTACGATTTCAAGATGTGAACAGCGTTCTCAGGCGGTTTGGAACGCCGTCCATTTATTGTGAGCCCCTGAATCAAACTGACCGAGGCTCTCTCGTGTGATTCATGATGCGTTTCACCACAGTGCATTCTTATCTGCGCATATATGTACCGTACCGTACCGTGACCCCTGCAGCTGTTGATTCAAACACGATGCGCTTCTTTTACTTATTCTTTACACAACACGCAGTATATTTCCCTGTGAATTCTCATGTCAGTTTCCTCCATTTATAATGATCACATATATTATGTTTGACGACTTACATTTCGTTTTTTGGCATATTTTGTGATGCACGTGTTTTGTATTTATGGCTTCTTTTGCTTCAATATACCCACGTCCATATGTTCAGTATTTTTCATCTTTCATCGTTCATGTTATAACGTTGCAGCTTCAGGATCCTCATTTAGATTCACATGAAGGCCGAAGGAAAGAAAAGATCAATAACCCAGAGATACGTCTTTGACTACAACTGGAACAGAACGTCTCCATTCAGCTCCATCAGCTCCATCAGCTCCATGAGCTCCATTCAGCTCCATGAGCTCCATGAAGCTCCATTCAGCTCCATCAGCTCCATGAGCTCCATTCAGCTCCATCAGCTCCATTCAGCTCCATTCAGCTCCATGAGCTCCATGAGCTCCATGAGCTCCATTCAGCTCCATGAGCTCCATGAGCTCCATTCAGCTCCATGAGCTCCATTCAGCTCCATTCAGCTCCATTCAGCTCCATCAGCTCCATCAGCTCCATCAGCTCCATTCAGCTCCATGAGCTCCATCAGCTCCATTCAGCTCCATCAGCTCCTTCAGCTCCATTCAGCTCCATCAGCTCCATGAGCTCCATGAGCTCCATGAGCTCCATGAGCTCCATTCAGCTCCATTCAGCTCCATCAGCTCCATCAGCTCCATTCAGCTCCATGAGCTCCATCCAGCTCCATGAGCTCCATCAGCTCCATGAGCTCCATCAGCTCCATGAGCTCAATGAACATCTTTCAAAAGTTCAGACGTTTCAGAGATACAATAATAACTCACTTTAGAGTCGTTGCATTCACGTTACAGCGTGAAGCTAAAGGAACTAACTGATACTAAACATGTATTGTATGTTTTTAGAGGTTGATTAAACCTACATACTCTAGTGCTGTGAGGTAATGAGTGACCCCCACCTCTCATCCTGCATTAAATGAACTGTAAGCTGAGAAAAACCTGTTTTGGGAACTCATTTGCATGAGCAATGAGGCTTCCATGTCTGCACAGATACAACGAAAAAGCGCGCCAACAAAAACTCAAACTTGATCAAGAGTAAATTCATTGAAGAAGATGCCAAAAAAACCCAACCTCTGTTTGTTTTGTTCTGCAGAGTTTTTAGCTTCTTGGCAGCGTCTCTCAGCGCTTCACTGTGTTTAGAAGATCAGAGGCTGTGACTCACCGCGCCGTCACGTTTACGCCACTAAAGAGACGCTTTGTTTGCACGAGTTTAGGTAGCGGTCAAACGGGTCAGATTCAGAAGCCACACATACACACGCACACAAGTCATATAAATACTTCCACATACATATCCATGGACGCATATGCATAAACACATGCACGTGTCACCCCAATGTCCTGTTTAAATATAGATACACACGCTTGGAGTGAAATAGCAGTGTGTGTGTGTGTGTGTGTGTGTGTTTATGTCACGCTCTTTGTCGTCCTGCACACACTGATCTGGCGCTGGCTTCCACTAGTCAATCAACAGCTCTGTACTGTGAAACACGAGAGCCACTGAACATACACACTCACACATACACACATTTTCACCTTTCCTTTTCCTCTCCTCTCCTCCTGTCCTCCTCTCCTCCTGTCCTTCCTAGGTGACCCCCTCACTGGAGACCCTCGGTACTCAGATTTGGCCCCAGAAACCGAGTGTTTCACATCCGTCACAGTCCAGGAAAACCAGGAAAGAATAAATGAACGGAGTGGGTTTTTTAATGAACGCTGGGACTGGGCTCTGAGGAGCTGGATCCAGTCACACGGTCAGAGTTTACTCCAGTGATTTGATCCAGAAAATCGCACCCCAGCTTTATGGTTTCTGCAGGGGAAGTGGCTGAGCTGCAGATGGAACGCTGCCCGGTGGAAATCGTAAGCAAGTAGAGTATGCACGTAAATGTAAACCACGCTCCAATTGAAAATAAATAAATACACAAAACATTATACGTGTTTAATTAATTTTAATGTCACTGTTAAGGTGTGAATAGCTAGTTCAGCTCCAGAGGATTTGACGCCCACAGCTCTGACTTTGTTCAGCGGTTGAAATAGTTCTTTGTGTGATCGATGGTTGAATCAGATTGAGCCGGATTGTCATCCCAATAAACGGGCGTATGGGTCGTTCATGCTAGCGGCTTATTACCGCGCATATTTAAGTGCATTGTTGGACGGTGACTTCTTGTGGCCGTAGTAACAATGACTGGAGATACGGAGGAAGTCAGGTGACGTGGTAT